AAACTACTCTGTGTCTCGGATTCTTCATCTGTAAAATAGGGACAAAATAGCATTTTCCTCGTACGGGATTGTCAGAACTGAACGAGTTCATATATCCAGATTAAAAACAGTGTCAGATGTATGGTAAGGGTCCAATAAATGTTAGCCATTCATCATCATCATCATCATTTTCATATGTTCCTTCTTAATCGCTGAAGAATAAAAAGAGAGTTTTACCAGTCATATTGTTTGTTTTCTCAAAATTAAAAATAGCCTTTATTTGCCAGTTATATAAATAACATGTTTACTGTTTTAAAAATTCAAAATGTGGAGAAAAGAGTAAAGAAGAATTTACAAAAAGAAAAATTCTGAGACTCTCACTATCTGAAGGTGATCGCATTTATATTTTGATAACTAGCTTTTCATCTCTCAGCATATACACACATGTAAACTTTCAAAGGTGGGATTATATTATACAAGCTATTTCATCACAGAAACTTTTCTTTGTTTTTAGTCTTTTTTCCCCTTTATGCCTGCTCCCTCTTTTTCAACCTTCCACAATTTTCACTATGCTCATCAAATCATACACATGTGTGGCTGGCCCGGTGGCGCAGAGGTTAGGTTCACACGTTCTGCTTCGGCGGCCCATGATTCACTGGTTTGGATCCCAGGTGTGGACATGGCACCACTTGGCAAGCCATGCTGTGGCAGGCATCCCACATATAAAGTAGAGTAAGATGGGCACGGATGTTAGCTCAGGGTCTTCCTCAGCAAAAAGAGGAGGATTGGCAGCAGATACTAGCTCAGGGCTAATCTTCCTCAAAAAAAAAAAAATCATACACATGTATGTGTTTGCATATATAAAGGTTTTTTGTATTTTACAGACGTAGCATATACATATATATACATGTATCGATACATATGTATACATTTATAATATGTGTATTATATCGCTATATACCTTTGTCTTTATTTTTATCACTCTCTAGCAAAAAAAACATTGACCATTGTACACATACTATGTGCCAGGCACTCTTCTAAGCATTTACATTTGTTCTATCAACTGATACATTTCTAATACATATGTTTAAAGGCAACATAACACTCCTTAGAAAGAATGAATTACAATTTATTAAATCAATCACCTATTATTGTGGATTCATGATGTTTCAAGTATTTTTCCACTAAAATAGTTAAAGTAGATAGCCTGTAAAAATATCCTAGGAGTGGAATTTCTAGGGTGAATATTTTTAATGTTAACTATAGTGGTTTACCCCACCACCACCACTGAGTGGGAGACAGAGGGGTTGTCCCCATCATGTCAGGAGTTCCTGTGATTTTCTGCAGAAATGACTTCCAAAGTCCTATCACATCATGCAGAAGTACAGTGAGTGGACACACAGATAAGGGGGAAATGTGGCACCTTCCAGCCCCAGTAACTCCCCAGGCCGCCCTAGCCAGGGCCCTGCACAGGAGGATATCACCCCCAGACCTGCACCTCCCTGTACACATGGCCCAAATTCAGTAAGGTCCCACTCTGCAGAGAACAGAACTCAGGCCCAGGTGGAACAGAATAAGTCACAACTCAATTCACTGATGGTGATGAAATCCTAAAAAATAATCCTGTGAAGGTAGATACATAGGATACAGATTCTGCCCTAACAATTCAGTGATGCCAGAATTTCCAAGATATACCTTTTAGACTATGTGTTCCATTTCTTCACGGACTCTAGCAGACAGCAGTGATGGCCAGCCAGATACTTTACCCAGTGTGGAAACAGATGTCTGATTCTGAAGGACGCAGAAGGCATGGAGGTCTGTACGAGCAGCTCGTCCTACCCAGAGAATGGAGAACAACAGAGGAGGAGCTCTTCAACAATGGCTCCCACGAGAAGCCCCTGAGTGGCATCTCACACAAGATCACAGAGAAGAAGACACCCCCGATTCCTGCGGAGGGACTGCTCAACAGCCATTTACTCCCCAAGAAGGCCGAGTAAGCCACAGAAGCAAGACTGTGGGAGGAGCTTGGTTGCCCCAGAGAGAAATCTCAACATCTACCTCCTGATCCAAAAGATGAAGATGATTCTTAGCTCATTCACCTCCATCATGTCCCAGCTGCTTGACAAGGTTGGACCAGCTTTCTGTGGAGTTAAGCAAACTAAGAAGCTGGTGAGTCCCAAGGAGATGAAGCCTAAATCCCAATCACCTCTTTGCCCCCAAAGACCAATCTGGCGAACAAATTCCAACACACTGTAGACCAGAACTTATTAGGCAGTGTTCCACTTATCTAGTGTTTTATATATATATATATATAATTTAAAGCAACAGCAATCATTTTGCTCAGGAATCTGCAATTTGGCTTGGAGGGTGGAGCTCATCTCTGCTTAATGTGGTATCAGCTAGAGCAACTCACTGGGCCTGAGTATCCACTTTCAAGATGGCTCACTCACTAGGCTGGCAAGTTAGCACTAGCTGTCAGTAGGAGCTTGGCCAGAGTTAGCATCCTGGGGCTTCAGTGCCTTTCCACGTTGGCTTCTCTGCAAGACTTCTTGAGCTTCCTCACAACATGGCAACTGGGTCTAAGAGTGAGTGTTCCAGGAAGCCTGGGCAGAAGCCAAAAGCTTTCCATTACCTAGGCTCAGGAGTCCCAGAACATCAATTCACCACATTCTTTTGTACAAGCTGGCCATTAGGTCCAGCTCAGAATCAAGAGGAGGGCAATTAGCAGCCACCTCCCAATGGGAGGAGTGTCAGAGAATTTACTGCCATCTCTAATCTGCCACTGGTGGTGAGCTGCATCTGGCTGGATAGCTCATCCTAGGGGAAGCCTCCAGGTGCGTTTAAGTTGTGTGTTCTTGTGCTTCCTCAATAGAACACCATGCTCACTCTGTTAGGAGAGAACACTAGATGATGATATGAACGTAGATAGACTTTGAAACCCGTGTTCACCAATTCCTCATTTGAGCTGCGTCTATCCACTATCCTCATACCCTTACAAATTCTTATAAACAAGGCCTTCACCTACTTACCTTTTAGGGATCTATTGCCTAAGAGGTAAAAGAAGCACTCTGTACTAAACTGAATATATATCATGTCAGAAACTTGGACAAATCACTGGACTCATGCAAAGAGTTCATAAAATCTTTGCAGAATTTTACAAGTTTAATAACCTGATGGTTTAATATTTTTTCTTGGACTGTAGCTACAATAGAAATAGTCTGGGAATTGTATCCATTCAGCCAATAAGGACTTCAGTTCCACTAGCTATATCACATAAACTTCCCTCCTGCCCACAGCAGCCACTGTCCATTTGCATAGGATCTGAAATCAGAATGCCTCACGTGCAGCGTAATGCACTAATTTTAACAGAATTATTTTGGGACATTAAATATGGATTGTTTCTGTGGAAGCTGCAATCCTAAGTTATTAAAATTTACACATGCACAGAGATTTAATGAAGCATTCTCTCTGCAGCTCCTTCTCTCCCTTACACACATACATGCACACACACACACACACACACACTCCAAATGCACCATACATTTCTCTTGATTAAAAACCCCCAAAGTGAGATAAAGGGAACTGCATTCAAGTTCTTAGAGCTGGAGCAGCCATGACCCTCCCAATTGGTTCCCCATTTGGGCCTTTCCGTACACTGAGTTCCTCCAACAGAGACACACAGAGGCCCTATCCAGGGATGGCGGTGGCAGTCCGCACCATGGAAGCAGCTCTGGCCTCTGAGACATGACCAAAGAAGATTCTAAGTCGGATAAAAATTGTCTTGATATTCAGAGGATGGAATGCCGACCTACAACTCCAGAAGCAAAATTAGTTATTAATTTTTTAAAATCATATCTACCCTTGTCTAGAGAAATCAGTAAGACCTAGAAATTAAAAAGGTGTCTTTGCAACCCAGAGAATGCTGCAAGTTTTCTGAAACTGTTGCTTGGCTCTTTTCCTTAGTGCTGTTACTGTGCAGGCTTTCTCCCTCCAAACTACGAGAGTGCCTTCCACAAAAAGTGACGCACCCGCAACTCCAGGAGCTGCCCCTGCCCCCGTCCACCCCATCAGGAAAGGTCTTCAGATCCTTTTCTACCTTCTTCCCCGTGTCCTTCTATCTCCACAGGTGGCCCCAAGCAATGGTAGAACAGAATACCTGCTATTTCCAGAAAATGTGTTGTTAACCATCTCATTTTTCACCTTCTAAATGGTTTGCTTTGGTTGCTTGATGTTTTTGTCCTTTCTTTTGGTCTTTGTGTCACAAAGACAAGACAAGGAACATAGATGTATTCCGAAGTTAAATAAAAGTATAATCAATAAGCCACCATAAATGGTCTAACCATTTCCTCTGTTTGTAAGTGTTAAAACACTGCGTGAAGTTAGCTGTGTGTATACTAACTCTTCAACCCTGCTTCAGTTCACTTCGGCCACTTCTACAGGAATGTTCCTCATGCTAGTTTTCCTTGTGTGTCTCATGGGATGTGCTGACAAAGGAAGCTGCATTCCAGACCCCTTCACCTCCCCTCTAGACCCCTAACCTGGGCCCAGGCTGCGCTGGCTCCTAAGGCCTGGCTGCCTTGCATCTGGCTCTTTGTTAAGGCTGACAGAAGCCTAATTGCATATTTCTTTTCTCATCGAAGCAAAATTGTTGGCATTCCACAGGAGCTGTTTGCTGTATAATGCACCATCTGGTCCTCTGTGATAAGGAAATAATTGATTATTTTGAAGACTCTTAACTCATCCTGTCTCTGCAGTATATGAAGAGAGAGAGGGGCCGAAATTTGCATGATAGCTGTGCTTGCACTAAAATGAAATAAGTGGCTGAAGCTTCAGGAAGCCAAAGTTCCCTTCTAATTAATTTATTTTTTAACAAATAGTGATAATGTGATTACTGTATGCCAGATACTGTTCTAGGGACTTTACAAACATTAGCTAATTTATCCTCAAAACAACCCTATACAGCGGGGGGGGAGGGAATGAGAAGTCTTAGGAATGTTCTGGTTCTTGATCTGATTGCTGGTTACCTGGGTGTGCTCAGTTTGTAAAAATATGTCAACTGTGTTACCACACAAACATGCAGTGCTCCTACCTGGTGCACATAAAAAAGCCAATTATTACAGCATCAGCTTTTGAGAAAAGAATACAGATTTATTGCGAGATCGATCTGCAAGGAGACAGGAGGTATAAGCTCTCGGATCTGTCTCCCCGATCCAGGGCTTGGGGTAAAATGTATAGGATGAAGGGCAGGGCGGTCTGAAGTGTGGAGACAGATGACTGGAGAGGAGAAGTGAGGTAATCAATGATCTGCACAAGCATCGTCAAGCTTCATGGCTCCTCATAGGACGCATGTTCACAAATGGTGGTGTTGGTACGATCTGAGGGTGGAAGTTTCAGCCCCTTGACATCAAAAGGGTCACTTATTGGGCATTTGCACAGGGCCGGTTGATGGGTTGGTGATCTCAACCGACCTGAATTGGACAAGGGCTCATTTCTCAGTTCACGAAAAACCACTCTTAACTACTCAGTTGATAAGATGGGGTCAGTTAAACTGGTCCTAGAGGGCCCATGCTTACAATAGTATGCTTATAGTGTATATGCTTATGCATGTTATTCTTCAAAAGAATTAAAACAAAAACTCCAGTGTAACAGAGGCTATTGTTTTTACCCTTTTTATAAATGAGAAGACCAAGACTTGGAGCTTGCTTATGGTCACATAGCTGAAAATGGTACCCCCAGAAGGTGTGATGCTGGACCCCAGGCTCTTACCCAGGCCTCATGCTGCCCCTTGGTGTATGGTGTTCTGGGGGAGGGCTGTGGCTGGGAGAGAAGGAAGAGAATTACCTGCCCTCCCTCACTGCTGCATCAGAAGACACCCCACAGTAAAGAAGGCCTCCTTTGGTCACCAGCCTGCTCATTGTTGATGGCTTGCTCTCTGAAGAAATAAGTTTCAATCCACGAACCCAGGAAACAGCACTGACTTGGCCCAAGTGAAGCTGCCACCAAGTGAAGTGTGCCTGAAAGGATGAGGAGGACCCCACGAGGAATTCAGGCAGTGCAGGGAGCCAGCCGACGGGCGGGAGGGGACTGCAGGTAGACATGTGATAGCTCACCGCGAAGCGGGTAATACATTAGCCAGGAGTGGCCCCCAGGGAGGGCAGCAGGAGATGTCACGTGACTGGAACCCCCACACTGGAGCCTTCGACTTACCAGACCCTAGCCCCTCCTTTCCGCGAGATGACTTTTGGTAAACTGAGACAAAAGACAAATAGACTAAACGACCTAAAGAGTGTTTAGGCGGACACCCACGCTGACAACTCTACCCCTTCCCCAGCCAGCTCAGAAAAAACCCACGAGGGGGGAAAATACCAATAAACAAAACTTCCAAGGCACATGCTGAGATGACTAAGAGCTCAGTGTGGCTTCTTCCGCCAGCTCTGGTTAGGATCATACATTCCCAGTGTCATCTTTATCTTCATCACCGTTAGTCTTCTTCACCTTCTTTAGTCTTGATCACCATTTCATCTTCATCAACAGTAACAGCAATGACATTGGATCCCTGCTCTGTGCCAGGAATTTCACTCGTGATAAAACAAACAAAAACCCTGAAAGCTGAGTATTTCCTTAACCATGCGCTTAGGAGCCAAAGCACAAGCAGACGGCAGCTACAGCACTGCAAGGTAGGTTCTCATAAAGAGTGTCCACGATGCCATCTGAGCAGAGACCTGGCTGGTAGACAAAGAAGGCTCTGATGTCACAATACACTGGCCTCCTATGTAGGAGCTTAACCTCTTCAGCTGTCCGGGAGACAAAGATTCCAGTGCAAATAGTTCTTTTAGGAGGTCATCCCAGGGAGTGGGGAAGTGAGACAAAGCAGGGAAAAGAGGCAGCACAGGGAGTGTGAAGATGTCCGCTGTGGGCAACTGGAGCTCAGCCCCGCTGGGGGCCTCCGAGAGACTGCACAAACCACACCACAGTTGTCCATCATTTCACTGAGGACTAACCGCCACCACGTGTGACCAGCCCTGCACACATGCCAAGCATGCTCTAGTAGGCAGAGCCACGGGGTTTGCAAGAGGAAGCCCGTGGAGCAAAGTAACGCGAGAGCTGAGGGGCTGCCGACAGCCGCTGACAGCCTCAGCAACATCTTTAAACCCTCGAGGCCACCTAAACAGGTTTAGCTTAATGCATCAGCCAACTGAGTCCTGTTTAATGCTCTAGACGTGGTGCATGACTCTCTGTGCTACTTCCTGTTCTGGGTGGGTCCAACCCTCCAGGTAAGACACGACCCAGAGAGCCAGCCCAGCAAGAACTAACTGGAGTGCTCTGAACGCTGCCTGCTCAGGGTGCCAGGGCAGTGATGGGTCTGCATTCCTGATTTCCAGAATTTTCTTTAAAGCATAGGGCTAGAGTAGACCAATCTCTCCAATGTAGATTCAGATCTATGGATTTATTCTAAGAACAAATTCAACTGGAAAAGTAAGAAGTCGGCATTCCTTCGAGCATGATGAGCAAGGTAACCCTTTCATACATAACGCGCATTCTTCCTGTTTGTTTTATGATCTTTCCTGTAGTATACCCTTCCCCACTCCTTCCCAGACCTTCCTGGGCTGGGAGTTCACTGTTTGCTTCACTTGCATGTTATTTTCCTCCTCACCTACCATTGCCATAAAGGAGAGAGGGCTTATGGTCAAAGGAACTGGATCGGGCTGCTGCAACCAAGATCTGCCTCAAAAAAAAAAAATTCTGATTAACCTGAAAATTCAAAGAACAGGCACACCCCTCAGTGCTAAGATTAAGGCTGTCCGTCCACCGGGGAGGAGAAATAAACTGTGTACACCCACACAATGGAGTGCTGATATGCTGCAACAAAGATGAACCTCAGAGGCAAATGCTACATGAAAGGAGCCAGACTCGAAAGTTAGAAAGTTATATACTGTGTGATTCATTTACGTTGCATTCTTGAAATGGCAAAACTGTAGGGACAGAAAACAGATCAGTGATGGCCAGAGGCTAGAGGCAGAGGGAGGTCTGACTGCAAACAGGGCCAGCTTCAGGATCGAGGAGCCTGAGGGCTGTATGCCCAGAGAATCCCTGAGCTCGGGTTCACCCTGTGTTGTTGCTGTTTGAAACTTTTAAACATTTTATCTCTGAACTGGTGGATCAATGGAGTATGCCCCTGTGCAGAGAGGATGCATACAATATTCTTACCCCACACCGGCCCTTGCTGCCGCAGCCATGTAGAATGCTCACGATGACTCATGAGCACAGAACTTCAGATCCACGACGTGATGAGAGCACAGTGAGAATCAAGGCAAGTACAAGGAAAGCCTGTCACAGGACTTGCCGGCTCCGTAGGGTGTTGGCAGAAAGTGTGTGTATCAAGAAGCAAAATAAAAACTATCGAGTTAGTTTCGTGCAGTTTTCCATCATTATAGTAAGAACGAAATACGTCTGCCAGCACGAGCTACGAAATACGAATTGTATAATTTCACTGATGCCACATATCAGTGTGCTCTTACATTTATTTGCATTTAAAACAGGCATTATACAGCATGAAAATGAATGACAAAATTTATGCTAATGTAAAATTTTAACTTTTCTTTAGTGAGAACATTAAATAGCCAGTAAAAATCACCATGACAAGTCAAAAGAAACTGCAGAAGAAATAAAAAAGATTGTACCTTACTATCTTTACTGGCCTTTTTCCCCACATTTTGAATAGGACCCTGAAAATTCTAGAGCTAGCCCTGGCTACAAAGGAGCAGCACTGGGGGATTTGGGGAAGTGATGGGCATCATTTAATGCGTTGACTGTGGTGGTGGTTACACTCACATGAAAAAGGCTGAGTTTTACTGGGTATAAAGTAGACCTTAATTTTTAAAATGGGTGACTGCATCTGCCTTTTATGGCTTTTACTGATAACTAAAGTTAAATCCAGCAAGCCTGCTTTTGAGTGTGAAATGTGTAGGAACTGCTGCCCAGTATGATAAAATAACGAGTTCTGAATGTTCGTTCCTTGAACTTTCGGAGACTCGTGCTAACCAAAATCCCCTTCCTTCTCAGAATCTCTGCCTGGCTTTGCTAGTTTTCCCTCAAACAGAGCTGGCTCATAAAGACCACCTTCTCCCAAGGGCAGAGCATCTCTGGGACAGGGGACACAGGTGGACTCGCTGCAGTGGGGACAGCCTGCTGGAAGGCTGACATCCAGAAGTCTCATGGGACGTGGTTCCTCCTGCAGAGCAGACCAGCGTTCTCTTGAGACCATGTGGGGGCCTCTACAGGGGCCTACCTGCTCTCCCGAGATCTCCCTCCAGGCTCAACTCTGGTCCCCCAAGTCTCCTGTTAGACCTCTATGAACCTGAAGAGCAGGGCCCAGTCTGCTCGTTGCCCTGCAGGGCAGAGTAGAGACTCTGCAGGCTGGAGTCTCCTGCTTCAGTGTCACACTGTCCTCAAGTCCAGAACTGCATCTCTTCCCAGGCACCTTTAGAGACTCAAGCAGCTAGTGAATCTCTCCAACACAGTGAGTTCTTGGTAACATTTGGCCAGAGAGTAGATGAATAACCCGTGAATAAGCTCAGACACAGAGGCTTTCAACAATTAAATCTTCATGCCGTTTCCTCCCTTCTGCGCTGGAGGATCCCGGGCTCTCAAGAACTGAAGCAATTTTCCAAGCATCCTATTCTTGCCAAAGAGCGAGCCCAGAATACAAACCAATGCCTGAGTGATACCGCCAACCCCAGGGCACACACATCCCCACCCTGGCAGTAGCTGAGGCCGCAGCACGCCATTGAGACATTCACTGATCACTTCTCCATTTTCCCTCTGCAAGTTTCAGCCAACTGATAAAAGACTCGGAATGTCTGGAAGAAAGGCCCAGCTCTGTGAAGAGAGAGGCGCTTAACTTGGAAAGCCTTGGAGTTGAACAATTTCTGTCCTCGGAGGGCTGGGCTGGCATCATCCACTTGGCTGGTTGGAAGCAAGTGCCGCTTGATGTGGGCTCTGAGAAAACCCAGGTATGCCGGGGTCTCTGGTTGCTTCCTTGGAGAGTGGGCTCCCCCTAGAGTGGGCTTCACTGATGGGAGGGAAGAGGTTTGGAGGAAGCAGAAGACTGCCCACAAATCCCAGGTGGCTGTACGTGCCACGCTTTTCTCTCCCTTTAAAGAGTGTCCCTATTCTGACCCTGCCTAGTTCCCACCAACTGTGGGCATATTTCTCTCCTCTGGATGCCATGGTTGAGAACTCAGACTCCTGTGTCTTCTTGTCTTGGGAAGATGTTTTTGCCCATGATATTCATGAGCAACTGGAAGGTAAAAATCAAAATGGAAAAGCCAAATCAAATGCCAGCTTGGGGCAGAACAGCTGGCCCTCTCCTTACCCTCCATGCCTCTGACCAGTGTCCTACCTAAGCAGGGCTCTGCAAGTGGAGAAGGATGGGGAGGTCCCCAGGGCCTGGGAAAGAGGGGTGACCAATGGGAATGTGTTTGAACTCTGGCGACTGGAGCAAGGGGCGCTGGGAGCTGCAGTAAGAGATGTGAGCGCAGTTAGGGAGTCGGGGACACACCAAAAAAGCTGAAGAAGAGAGAAAGAAGGTGGCAAGTCTGTCCCAAGAAGCCATATCTGGATAATGCAACCGTTAAGAGCACGAATTTATGACTTTCAAGACTCAGGGACTTTGACCATTAGAAATAATGACCTATTTTATTTAAATTCTAATGGGAGAAGACAGTAAAAAATAATAAATATAAAAAATAAGTGAATTATACAGTATTTTAGAATGTCATAGATGCTTTAAATGTAGATCAGGGAGGATCCGGAGAGCCGTTAATGGAATGGGTTGCAATTTTAAATAGTGCAGTTAGGATGGCCCTTATTGAAAAGACGACACTTGAGCAAAGACCTGAAGGAGGTAAGGAAGTTGGCCACGTGGATATCTGGGGTAAGGGTTTTCCAGCTGTAGGGAACAGCCAGTGCAAAGGCCCTAGAGTGGAGAGTGTCTGGCACAAATAAGGAGCAGCAGCGGGGCCAGTGCAGCCAGGAGTAGAGTAAGCAAGGGAGAGAGAAGTCAGGAAGGGGATAGGCCACTGAAGGACTTTGGTTCTTACTCTGGGTGAAAGGGGTGACTTTGAAGGATTTTTAGAAAGGTGACATTTATGTTTTGAAAGGATCGCTTTGGATGCTGTGCTGAAGAGCCCAAGCAAAAGCAAGAGAGCAGCTCTGAGGCTAATACCATAATCCAACTGAGGGGTGGTGGCTCAGACCAGCGTGGTAGCTGTGGAGGTGACAGGAAGTGGTCAAATCCTGCATTTATTTTAAATGAGGACTCAAAAGGATTTCCTTACCAATAGGGAGTGCAGTGTAAAAGAAAGACCTTAGTAGACTCCAACTGGGGACCTGAGCAATGAGAAGGATGGAGTTGCCATCAACTGAGATGGAAAGGATTATAAGGGAAATAGGTTTTGGGGGGAAGATCAGGAGTTCAGTTTGGGACATGCTGAACTTGAGATGCCCCCAAAACATCCAAATGGAAATGTCAAGTGGGCAGCTGGGTGTTTCAGTTGAGAGAGAGTTCTGTCTGGAGATACGCAAAGGGAGATGCTGGAGCCGTGTCACGAGGGAGGAAAAGGCATGGGGTCTAGCTTCCAAGTGGAAGATTCGGAGGAGCTGGCCGGCTCATCTGTAGTAACAAGAGGGAAGAGAGTATGAGCACGTGTTGGGGGAGGGGAACCTCCTCGTA